GATGACCTAGATATATCGCTCATAGATCATACAAGTTCCTTCTTCGGTCGATATCTTCATGAAAATGTAATTAATAAGTAGGTATTTAGGGGATATCGGTAATTATGGCAATTATGAACTAGTGATATGAAATCTATAATTGATTCCGTAGACACATATATTTAACATTTATATATAATATTTATACACTCAAATATGTCAGCCGATATAGCTATATAGAATAATTTGTCAAATCGTTGATGTGATATATATATATAGACGTCTTTCCAGTCATAGATAGTCCTGTCGGTATGTTTACCTCACAACGCTGACATGTAAAGATCCAGGCGCGTGTCTATAGCTCAAGGGACTGGACATCACTTTTACTGGCATGTATACTTATCGTCCAAGGCTCTCGTTGGTCTGTTAACGATTTCTCGAAGTTAAAACAATAATATGAATCAATAATGCCTTATACACCACACCATGCTTGGTAGCTTAATATGCTTGTCCAAGTATAACAAGAATATTTGAAGAAACGCTTTTTTGAAATTATTCGGATACACCCAACAGTTCTAGTTAGTTCTTTTTTAAGTCGTAACGTATGCTATTTATTTCGATGCTCCAATTATAAAAATCTCAATACAAAATGTGGAAAATTGCTAGAAAGTTGTTATTGATAATAAAATTAACGAGAAACCTAGGTGGCTAGAAGAGTCCCTCCGGATTAGACACCAAATTAAAACAGAAACACAACGTCAATTTGTATTAAAATCACATGTCTGGAAGTGTCATCCATTAATCGAACGCGTGGGCTTGGTACTGGAACACATATATGTTTACTACATACACACGAATGGGAGAACCCTATTCTGGATAGGTGGCAGGCACTTGGCGTTGTCAATGGTAAACTGCATCTCTTTGGTAATGAGATCCCTCGGGTAACACCCACCAGTCGACAGATTTGTCACCTGTTCATCAGAAGACTAGTTAGAGACCATCATACGTTCTCCGCTGTGTTTGTATGCATCCACCAAAGTTGTGTTTTCGTGATGAAAAACGACGATCAAATATATTTAAAATAAGGAATTGCTCCTTCTTCTAAAGGTCACCTAACAGTAACTTTAAACGTGAAAACTTACAACGAACACCAGCAACACACTTTTTGTCATCATAGAAATACTTCTCTAAGCTGATAAAATGTCTATTACTAGCCAATATGGATACATATCTAGAAACAATTTCACGTGTTCGAAGAAATACAGCGTTGCAGTAAATTGGTAGGACTCTTTTTTGAACGTAGATGTATTCTAACATTCACGTTTTCATTACACAACTGTAAGCTGTCATTGAGACTCCCTGTTGTATAACATATATAATTAGCTTTTATTGCTCGGTGCACGACACTGTCTGTTTGGCTCACACTCTCACAGCAGGGTAGCTGTTTATGTTATCCTTCATTCTTTTGTTACAAAGACAAATAGGTTTTGGATTGTGTCCGGACAGAAGTTAAATATTACACTGTATAACGCAGTGTATGCTGCTTATTTCTTTTATTGCTGAATCTGTTTTCCCCGGTGGTACATGTAATGTCGGTAATGTTGCTTCCTCATCACCATCTAAGAGTGAGACCCTGCAGGTAGGGCGTAAGAATTGTACCTGCTGCCCCCATATGCATGATCGTAAGAGGCGACTCAATTTGGGACCTTATCTCTTCTCTCCTTTCTAAATAACTTTCTTCTTCCTAATGTCTCCCTTGACAATGCCTCACTTTTGGCCATTTGTTGAGCGTTCGCCCCTGTGAGGAAGGCTTTGGGTTCTGTCCCCTGGCCGAGACATACCAAAGTCTTTAAAAATGGTAGTTTATACTCCTGCTTAACGCTCAGCAAATTAGGAGTTGGACGACTGGTTTGCCCGTTGTCAGTATAATGTGACCGGGGGAGGCGTCCTGCTGAGTGTCTTCGGCAGTATGTTTCAGTGAGGTATCACTATAAAGTCGGCATCAGTTCCGCGCTATCACAAGGAGACAAACACGAACATATCGCAGCCTCCCAAAATACACACGCTTACACTACACGTATGCATCTTGCACACAGGGGAGGCCGTCCTTAAATGACCTTAGCTGTTAATAGGACGTTAAACAAAATCAAACAAACAAACAAACAAACCATCTAAGTGACTATAGCCTCTCACACTCAATGTTTGACGATCACTTTAATGACTTTTCCACAGCTCGAGACCTTTTTTCCGGTTGGTAAATGTATATTACATACATGTTAACAAAGTACAACCAGTGAAATATGAACTCGCATATGTGTCACACAATGTCCTAAGTCATACCACGTGTTACAGACAGGGCAGTGTCTCTAGAATATTGTACTTATAAAATAAAAATAAAGGTTTATAAATCTGATCTTTTGAATGTCCTATCCGAATTCTGAATTTTAAATTCTGCATTTGTAAATACGTTATACACACATGTGTCCTCTGATATATTCTAGGAAAACATATGAGAAAAAGATGGTTGGACAGTTTTAGAAGTTTTGATTTGGGAAACCAATTTAACTAGATCTAAATTTGAGTCTCGTGTGTTAACATGTAACAATACGGCGAGATGAATACAATGACGATAACTTGTAGCAATCTGTATAATACTCACTGAGTCTATGAGACTGGGGAATTTAACAGTTGTTCTGTTCACTATCATGTTGAATTCGTGAGATATTTTTTAGCAACGAAAGTATTACTTTCAGAAAAAAAAATCCCCTAGGCACTGTATCGTTGTTTAATCTCCAATCATAAAGAATTGTTCTAAAGGGCTGATCATTATCTCAAATTATGTTTAAACATGTATCTATTTAACTAAAGTAATCATATTAATGCCAAGTGAAAAGAAAGAAAAACAAATTGCCATTATATTACGATAAAGATATCTCACAATCAGTATTTTGACCATTTCCATTTTGTAAGTATCATGTAGAATTATTAATCCTGTTCAGTAGTAAAGGACATGCTTTCCTCTTGTTTTTCCAATTGTCTGAACATAAAATTTAAGATAGTAAACTATTTATATCGACATTGTAAGAGGAGAGGACTGTATTATGATTATTGGTAAACATGTCCTTGACAACAGATAGAAAGTACCGTTTTATACTCTCGTTTATAGTCTCATTACAACGAGATAACGAAGTTTGAAGGTAATCGCTGTGTTATGGTCTTTGTGTTTGTATTTGATAAGGGTCTCTGAGCGACCGTTGCTGCCCGGACGTTTGGAAAAGAATCGACACTAAATAGACACCTGTTGATTCTGCATTTATTTGTATAGAAACACACATATATGTTCAAATTGTTGATTAATTCACATTATAATTATTTTTGAGGACACAATAAAACCAAAAATATTCACAGATATTAACAAATAGTAGAAAGGTTGTCTGATGTCGTGTATGTCTTGGATACACGAGTTGGTCGCGAAATTGACTTACAGATGATTATATAAACACAACAAAAACATATCATCTATATATATAGTTTTGTTTCTTATTCAAAATCAAACAGTAGAATTTTACAAAGCGAAACATCCCGCTAAAATACATCAGTATGGTAGAGATTTTTTATTCTATTTTATGAAAAATATATACTTCCGTTCAAAACATCTGAAAAGTAAATGTTACCCATATACTTTGATTGGAAAACAGGAGCTATCCTATCTTCTGATTAGTTTTATTTTTGAAATCATATATTAACTGTACCTCTGATAGTGTTCCATCGAATAATTTAAATATATTGCCAAATTGATTGCTCAGATTGTGGAAGTTGAATCTGCAGTGCCACAAACTCTTTGGGAAAACACCATAATGAATTACTAACACGCGGTATATTAGTCATGGAGCAAATGAACATTACATACAAAATGTATCACAAGTGTTGCTACAAAGAGAGAAGCATCCATACCTTCCTAAGCTGTTATATAATCACACAATATGGCACTCGTTTACAATATCAATTCAAACCTTACCACTCGTACGCCATTGTACTACACGTTAGTTGAGTAATGCAACGCTTTAACACTGTTAAGGAGGCTCCACCCTTTTGCAATTAACCAGCAGAATTCAATGAAAGTCTCCCATAACGGTTATGTCACTATGTAGAGATGATTTATGACAATCTAAGCATTCCGATTAACTGGGGATTTTTTTGTAAAAAATACCGAAAAATTGAATTTTTGTCAAATTTATCACTTTCACATTTTTTGAGGGCGTGGCATTGTTCAAAACTATAACAACAATAACATAATGAAAAGAAGCATTGCTAATCAACCCTACAACTAATTTATTTATCATAAAATATCTTGAACACGTTACAGTGTTTTTTATTGAAATTGTATGGATAAAAGTAGTTATATACAAGCTAAAAGCAAACAGGACACATAGTTTAATACAAAAAGAGTGAAAAATTGAACCAAAGATACACAAATTCATTTATTTTACATTTTACAATCATTTTGATCCTGATAAGAGTTGTCTATCTTGAAAAAAATCGGAACTTTTTGTAGAAAGTTTATTTTCTTTACTTTACCAAAAACGACGGAAACAAATGAATTAACGCCTGGGATATTTACATGTCAGGTACATATGTAGCCATACGCTATCGCATGGTAGCATTTTATAGGGATCTTGATAATTTATAAAATACTATTTTCAGAGTTATTGTTTTAGCATTTGTGAAATGATTTACCTTACAGAGCGTAACTCGCTCAACAACAAACATCGTAGCGACCCCGAGCTTGTGAACAAGTGTTAGCACGTGAAAAGTACAGGTGTGTAAACAAAACACATCAGTCTGCAATCTATACGCCCCATAAACGACCTTCCTGAAGTCGTCTGATCGTATGTCAATGTCTTCCCGTGAGTTAATTTATATCTTTTTATCGTACCCTTTATTTCCAAGTTAAGTCTCGATATCGGGTGTTAACATATCATCGGCACGCACGTGTACTATTGTTTACCCGGTGTTACTATAATTTACACTACGGTGATGGAATGCCCGATACGCAATACGGAAATGACTACACGAAAATACGACAAGAAAAAAATAGGTATTACGAAGGTTGGGAAGTCCTTAATCATTTATTTTATTTGCTGCTCTTTTATCACAATACAGTCCTTCATACTTTACGTTCGGATGTTGCAGCTGTTTTACAACCAAAAATGTGAAAAAAATATTTAAGTACTTCAGAGGAAAAAAATAGTCCGAACTAACCATCTGATCACTATCAATAAATTCTAAGTCGTAAGATTTCTATAATTTCATTAATATATTTTTATTAACATATGCTACTAACAGATATTGCAAAAGTAAGCATTGTAAATGTGTCATAATATCATGTAGTCTTATTCAAATTCATATGACAAGAATAAACGCTGATGAATAAAAAGAGCTGATGTTGACATATTAATGTAATAAAAGATTCATTATTTGAAAAGTCATCACATTACAGGCTTTCCGAAAAGTTTTTGTGTGGCGATTTTTCTCCTGAAGAGCCGGATGGGAGATCTCCTCCTTCTCCTGCCAGGGCTGTGTGGACCCAACAGATAGTAGTACTGATCAGCGATGGACGAAGCCCACTCTGTTCTACATGTCCCGCCCACTTCAACCGCGCATGTCCTCTTCCTGTAAGAAACACATGAGGGACAATGATCAGTTCAAACTGTGTGTTTTGGTTCAGAGTTTTACGTCATCGAAACAACCAAGATCATATGAAAACGGGAGCCTACGGAGACACCGCCCACAGAAAATAATAGGTAAGAATGACATTATAGAGGTATCGGCCAGTGTTGCAAAAAGGTTAACTAATCAATAACGGTATGACCCCCTCCCCCACCGATTCTGCAGCCCTCTAACGTTATTCGCCTAAAACAAACATACAATGATTAGAAGTATACAATGATACAATGAGGGTTTATCTTTATCAGGTTCCTTCCGTTGGCAGTTTACATGTGATAAGGTAACGACAAGTAAAGACCGATCGTTTTGTAGCCTCTTTTCAAAACAGGAAGCAATAATGTTAAAGGTTAGAAATACAAAAGTAATCTTTACTGTGGAATCGAAAGTGCATTAGCTATATATTTCCACATGCGACAAATTGACTTTCAAAATCTGAAATTCTTTATATTGTAACTCTATCACCCTGGGCTTGTCGTAATGGTACAATTTCTTATTTACATGTACTTACCTCTGTTGAACAATGTCCTGCTCGGCGTCACGCAGTAGTTCCTTCAATTTGGCAAGGTTAATACGCTTCTGCAATAGTTCCTTCAGTTCTCTAGGAAGACAAGATCATTCACATTTACTTCAGAAATTCATTGAAAACTCAAAAATAGAATATTTTAATCAGAAGTTTGTTTAGAATTATACAACAATGATGTTACCAAAACGTTGTATTTAATATACATGTGTATCTAAATAACAGATATTATCTGAATAAAATCTCCATTTAATGCTTATGTATCACGTTTGTTCAATAACGTTATCACGGTGTTGGTGATTTTGACGATATTATTTCTTGAATTACAGGAAGCGGAACTATGATTCACTTTGTTGCTGTATTTCGATAGTCTTATGTCAAGAGAGCTCATGTTTTTTCAGTATGTGGTGTCGCGTCATACAAACGTATCAATGACCAGGATGGTCTAACGGCAGGTCAGGTCAATGCCATAAATATCCAAAATGCACGCGACCTAAATGAGGAACTTCCGGTATATGTGAAATGTAGCTTGCTGCATAATGGGGCAATGCAATAATGGGTTTGACTAAGCCTTTCAGCTCATTTCATCGACACTTATTATGAGACACACCAAACGAAATGAAGAATATCCCAGACAGTAGCACGTTGGGTTCTAACTGGTTTGTCTGTTATGGTCACAGCTAAGGTCATACGGAGACGGTATCTCCAGATGTTAGAGGCATATCCCTGGTATGTCATAACCTAGAAACGACAGCTTCCTCCCGGTCACATTATACTGACAACTGAATAAGTAGCCCTTAACCTTCCCATACAAAACCTGAACGAAAAGCAAAGAGTATTAAGTACTGATTTATAGGACATTCTCTGAAGCTGTCAAACTGTCGAACGCTCTAACCAAAGGCCAAAAAGAAGTATTGACCAAGTAAATCGTAAGAAAACAAAAGAGTTGTTATGACAGAGAGAAAATGGAAATACCTTAAATACGGCCTGAGGTGCAGCAGATGTATTTTTCTCGTTTTCGTGTACCCAATAAGAGGACAAAAAAGCGAATCCTTTAAAACGTGTCCAACACTTCCCCCATTATACTTTTCAGCCATTTAAGTTGCAGCGAGACTGGCTCCTTTGATTTGTTAGGGTTTTACGTCCCAGCAAAACATAGAGCCATAAGAAGAGTGTTTTCTAAGATGATGAGGCCCGAAGGGGCCACTAAGATGATGAGGCCACTAAGGGGCCACTTGATAGTGTCATCTCCCTCAAATGTAAGGACTTGGACGCAGCAGCGTGACAATCAATCCGGTTAACCTCGGGGTAAGATTCTTAAAAGCCTGGTCGTTCCCAACCCCTGCCCACCCCAAGAAAGGGAAAGATTATATTAATCCTCAATGTGACGTCACATTTGACAAAACTACAGCAGTTAATAGGTAAATAGATAACGTAGGTGTATGCAATTCACAACAATGTACTTTAGATCTTAGATATGTCTATTTAAGGATTCAAAAATAAACGGTTTGTTAAATGGTAGTGACTATCTGAGCTTTTGGTAAGCATCATATGCTCTGAAATTATATTTTTTAGAGATGATTTAATTGTACCATTGTAATGGAGAAATTGATTGCACGTATTAGTTTTAACGAATAGCGTCAGACAAAAACCAAACAATCCTGCCAATTGTGGTTACAATAAGGCATCTACCAACGATAAAGAAAAATCACTAGATAGCTCCGATCGTTAACCCTGGTAATATAATACTTTAATGTATTCCATTGATTAGAGAGTAAATTCAGGCTTCAAAATAACACAATGTGATTGTTTTTAGAAATGTATTATCAAGTCTGATGCTTCAAAAGCTATATGATTCATCCGATAGCTGAATCAGAACACGGAAACCAATAATTAATTTATATTTGTAGCTATATTTAGTGACACGAATTCCAACATATTATTTAATTGTGACCTAATGATGACTTGTACCCTTCTAGTGGAGGCTTTTGTAGCTATTTAATACACGATGTGTGTGGTGGGTTAGAGACTATAACCATTTTCTGTCGCAAATTGTAGTCCTGACAGCACTAGTATAATGTACACTCGGGATAACATCGAACTAGTTGCAGCTTGAGGAGATTTACAACATCATTGTACATGACGAGCTGGAAATCGTATTTCAGAAGATGAAATGTGTAATTTCGTTCCAGCGAGTGACTTATGGGCCAAAACCATCCAATTATCTTCATTTTAATTTTGGGTATAGATTGTTTCATTGAATCAACACTGCTAATATAAATAGGCAATACTCATTAATAGGCATCATGCCCGCCTACATTATTATTAATTAATTAATTTTTAATTGGGAGTGTTGGTCCACACTATTTAAATAAAGTATAACAGTACTCTTCAAAGTGCTGCCTCCCCCTTATCCAGAACAAGTTCTCCATTCCCCGATTCTCACAACGAAGAAATGTATTATTTAAGCATCATTTTACTGAATGTCACACAGATTAGTTTAGGTGCGGTATAGTTGTTGGATGTGATCTGTAAATAAGACTCTAAGATTGTAGTGACCCTTCCCGTGGGTCCAGTTTGCACGCGTTGAAAAATACACATCGGGTAAGCTCCTGTCTTCCTTTTGTTCCGACCATCGCAAACAGTTCAATCATTCACAAGGGAATACGACAATCGTGCCCGCAAAATGCCGACAACTTTACAGACAAATTAATCAGATTTCTTAAATCGAATTAATGCCTCACAAACATTTCTATTTGATTGATGTCGTTATCAGTCACACAAATCCTTATGTAATTGTAAACAAAAATGTCGGACCGAGCCAATAACATTTTTTTAAAAACCCTTACGCGGCACTGGGTTTGATCTGTAAACACTTTGTCCACTTCCGATGCTTCCCCATGCGGAAAAGCCTTCTTGGAAATTGAGGCCGCATACTATATACAAAAAAGTATTAGTATAACTCTAAGATACCTGTATTTAATACATTTTACCAGAGAATATCATGAATTTTACGTTTGATAAAATCTTTTATCTTCACTGCAGTCAAGATATACGAAATATTATATCTTCGCAAGTAAAGATATCATTGTCATTATTGTCCAATCAGAACGGTAATTTCTCATCATTGCAAAGATTTTAAGTTTCAAGTTCAGATGAAGCGACGGCGAAATAAGTGGCTGTTTTGTTCTAATTTTGCACTTACATTATGGTATATACATAACTAAACTATTGATATCATTTTTGTTTGAAAATCTTACCAGAAAATAGCAGCAACGGCAAAAATTGCATTGCGAACCCCATTCAAAATGGCACACTGTTCTTATGTAGCAATGTTTTCTTCGCGTTACTTTAAAAATTGTATTAAAAAGAAGATTAATGATTTTCCCGTTGAACACTAAATAGGTATTTCACTCGTTGGAAACAAATACGTTATTACAACTGGAAAACTAGCGTTATGTGCGAGTGTGTTTTCGTAGAAGACTAGAAACGTAACAACTTCTTTGTCAAGTATTCTTCACAAGAAAATAACATTTTATGAAAAATTCAATTATAAAGGGGCTATAACTGACACTTCAACGCAGAAGATTGATTGATTTTTATCGTCTTACGTCCACTTCACTACCGAGTAGTTCGGTTATCCAACAGACCCAGAAGACAGTTGATATTTTATTCAAAAGTACATTATCAAATAAAGTCTTTGTAAAAAAACAGCAAGTATACATTATATTTTTCGTATATCATGTACTGTATTTTCTATCTTACAATGAAAAAAGGTTGACGTTATTACCAAATTGTTGACATTTAAACATACAGTAAATAATGTACTCTTTTGTGCCTTGGGAAAGTATTGAGTGACAACAGTGAAGCATGTGAGGACATTGGGCGTGAACAGAATAATCTGAACGTTAAATTAATGCCATTAATATGGTTGTTGGACTGTCAGCGGTAAGTGATCATCTTAATCTTAATTGTTTATTATGAGACTTGCAGTGGAAATGTTAACATACTGAAATGCCTTAAGTAGAAGAAGGAATATGGCGGACAGTTCTGACAGTGGGCTAACCAGGGGTGCTTAGCATATCCTATCGAAGGAAAATACTCAAAATAGAGAATAAAGAAACCAATAAACTTTCCAGGGACCTCCATATAAAGTACCTTATACAATCATGCAATGGGAATATGTGTGTTAATCCCCCAAAACACACTTTACTCGGTATGTACACCATGAACACTAACTCTTAGATTAAAAACGTATTTTTTTTTGGTATTGTTTAACGGCCCATCGACAATGTGAAAACGGTATTAACTAAGATACAATAATATCGCGAAATGGCAATGCATCATGTAAAATGATTATTTGAATTTACTGTGTAGCTGGTTGCATTTGAAATACTAACATTCTAACATTGGTCATTATTAAAACATACAGTCCTCTTAATCGATTATATAATCATATACTGGCAATGTAATTTCACCCAATCCTTTGAAACAGTGTTAAAATCAACAGTTATTTATGCAGCAACCACGTGATGGATTGCTAACCCCTTGTTATAAATAAGCTTCTGGGTTGCAGTGGTCGAGGAGACAAGACAAAGTACAAGTGACCCTCCCCTTTTATACTAGGAATGTTCCTTTGTGCCACTACGGCACACGACAAGAGTAACGCTTCCCTTGGCACCACCTACACCTTAGTTATATTGCAGAATGTTCGCCCATGTTAGACAAGCAATCAGTTTTGTCCCCAGGCCAGGACATACCAAAAAACCTTAAAAATGCTAGTTGTAATTTTCCTATTAAACACTCAGCATTTATGGTGAGCGCAACGACTGGGTTACTCTTTGAAAGTATAATGTGGCTAAATGGAGTACTGCACTGGGTGTCGTAAGCATGGAATTTCAGTGAGTTAACACTTTAAAGTCGGCATCAGATTCCCCCTATCACAAGGAATCAAATAATCCGACAAACCTTTTGTACATTATAAACACATGGCGACACATCCTGAAAAGTCCACAGTTCAATAGGACAACTAACACTATAAAGCAAACTATGCATGATGTTTGCATGAGGCGACTAATGTTGACCCCTATCTATTCGTGTGCCTTATACTTAGAGGACATCTGAAAGAGTCAACATAAATCAACTTCTTTGTAATACTTCGTATCTTAACTTAACATCCTTTCTTATGTAAGAATTGGCATTTCATGATTTCTTGTTCAACAAGCCCGAAGTCAGAATCCTTGGCAGGACTTTACATTATATATTACCCGCAAGCTTAACAGTATTTGTTTGTCCACTTGCTTATTATAAGAAAAAAGTGTTGCGTAGACATGGAAGGTAAAACTAACTGATATTGCCTGGCACAGGAAAGGGACCATACTCAGTTATCTGTATAGGCGGCTCATGCTAATAACGGAATAAGTTCCGATATGGTTTCGAACGTTATATTGACTGTACACCACAGTCAATAATACGCTGGGATATGATTTGAAGTGTAAAAAGTCAGAAAATGATATTTCCTCATATCATAAGTTTTAATTACATGCTTAATATGAGTTTATAAAGTATTTTAACAAGACTTGGATGTGAATAATGCTCAAAACCACGAAAACCGAGAACCATAAGATAATCTACCATGGCACTCGTACGTACATAAGGACCAACATAAAGCAGCATTACCATAACTCTATTTCTACGTATTGTAAATAAGAACTAATAACATTGGCCCGTGTGTGTAATACAAAGTAAATATTATTCCCTAAAGGTGATGAAGGGTGCACGTTAAAAATTATCCATTACTGCTTTTCTACCGCCTAGCCTACGCGACGAAATGTCTATGTTATAAAATATTATAAAGTGCATCTTGCATAACGCATGACGAAATGGTGCAGAACTCTGTCTAAATAACAGGGTCATATTCCCGACTGATCGGGTTTTAGTTAACATGATTATCCGTAGAGCCGCTGTGCTATACTGAGAATGGTAATGCTCTAGGTAATGACATGCAACTATCCAGTTATATCACTTTGGCTGGTACACATTGCATGACTAGGCCATTCTCCTCCACCATTAAATCTACATACCAACGACCGGTTTGTTCCGTTTCATTTTTGTCCAGATAGAGTGTCCCAATTGGAGGGTTGTTAGGCGTGATTACTATTGCGGTCATCAATGTAATTGTGTTATCTTGAGTTATATGCTGATATACTGGTGTTCAGTCTAGTTCCACTAAGCTGCTGTCTCCAATAAGTCAACTTATTTATCGTCCAAAACATAACTACCATTGCTCCATTATAGCAAAAAAGCTATAAGATATAATACCCCATACGGAAAGACACCAACAGGACCTAAAACCACTCACACAACGGGAGCGGTCTAGCGACAGTCAAGTCATATATGGTCGGACAACAATTCTATGGGACACTTGCACAGCTTCATACCACAAATGAAACCATATGTATACCGCAAAATGTTAAGATATTTATACGCAAGGTATTTCAGAAATTCAAAATCTCTTGACAATGTAATGGTGCAGAACAATGTTTATATAGCAGGCACATCATAATATTTGTCTCAAATCTGTTTGAAATCGGCAAAGTCGGTCGGTATGCAAGGCACAGTTATATGTTCGTTACATGAGTTTAATGTTCAACAAACCCCAAAAAGATGATATGTTCACCGTTCATTTCAACACAATAAGTCATAGTATGATATACTCATATAGCATGGGTATGGAGTTATGCAATTTGGATATCTTAGACTTGCACTTGAATTTGTTTTTACAGAGCCAGGGTGAATTAAGTTTTGGCTGTTATAAAGCATCAAGGTTGATGGCGTTATGAAAAAAAAAACGTTTATGCATGTATACCTGGGTCAAGCAGGGTTTAATTTTTCTATAGCCATATATCGAGAGGATTACTGGCCTCAAATCAAAATAGTTGTGGTCAGTCGAAACCACAAAATTATTATTATTATTATTTGATTCTGAACGGCCCATCAACACAAAAGAGATCATTAGGGCTAATAAAAGTAGGTTAAACATGTTAAAGGAAATTTCGTCAATTGAACAAAAAGGTAAAAGACAAACGTCAACTTAAAAAATAGTAAAAGTGACAATAATTAAGTTATATCTTCTTGAACAGACCAACAGTTTTTAGTAGATAAGAGTGGTAGAGATACTGACTGTTTCGAAAAGTAATTTGAGATCTGTTATATTATTATAAAAAAAAATATCTTGTTAGCTGAAGGTCAATGCAATCTAATAACATGTGTTTTACAGTAAATGGTTCGTGACATGCTATGCATTGATGCTGGTCTTCGCTTTTGAATAAATAAGAATGTGTTATGCTCAGTATGAATGACAAAACCAGAGACGGACAATGACAACCTCGTCTCGGCGGTTTTATCTATAGCTTGGATACCATCACCGATTTTCGATTAGTAGCCCGAGAAATTTGATTCCTTTACAATAGGAGTTTGGGATTCATCTTACATTATAGATTAAACATTAAAACACGTCTTGGTGTTTTTTTAGTTGGCAGAAATGCATACATAAAGTATAAGTTTTGAATAGACGTTTTCGTCTGACTAAGTTTGAAGTGTAAGTCATTGTTGCAATTGCCATTCTATTGAATGCAAATGTTTGAATATGTAGCATACAATAAATTCTGTAGATATATTATTCCCAGTATTGAACAAATATAAAACGCGACCTTGCAAACGTGATAGTTTAGCCAAGAGAACAGTATCGTCCGAACGGCATGAAACTACTGTAAAGGAGAGGCTATACTGTTGGTTTTTAATTAACCTTTGTCATCGGTGAACCCAGCCTGACCTCCCGGTTAGTAACGACAGGAGAACGATAAACTGACTCCTAGAAAAAAGTAGTACTTGGCGTTTTATGCTCGAATACATACTTCGCTCTGTGTGTGAATGATGAAAAACTATTTCTTTTAAGCAAATTACGCGTTGTACGAAAACTCTATTATCTATTTAATTAATATTTTACAGAACTGATTACAATTACAGTACATACCGTTATTTTCGAAAATACTGTAAACGTACTGATTTTAGTTCACTTAGATCTTACTGCATTATCTTATTTATCTGATTAGTGAATTTGTAATTTATCGCAACTGGATATAGCACAATAAAAAATAGCGCAATACTTAAAGCGAGAAAAGGTCTGAAGCAAGACTACTGCAAAAATATGCTCGTTTACAATAGTCCTTTTCCATAAAATGTCAAATCATTTAGCATTTATTTAAAATTTGAAAGAAAACTGATTGGATTTCGATATCAAAATAACAATAGTATATACGCCTTTATTTTTTTTTAAGACTATGCGGTCATCAGCTTCGTCAAGCCAAATATAGGTACATCGGACTCGGGATTTTGTGGCTAAGGTATAACTCCTTAGTATGTCATGGCGCCATTCTATTGATTTCATATCATCTTTTTTTTAATGGAATTAATTTCATTGAACAATTGATATGGGCTACATAAAATACATATTTATCTCTAGAAAATAATTAATAAATAGAAAATCCCAGTGGACATCCTTTACGTTTTCATATCCGCAAGATCGCCATTATGCTACATAGACGTGTTAACAGCAGTACACGTTATCGTTAACCCGGTCTGCTAATTTCGAATGATTGCAACTTACCTTGTTACTTCGTCCATGTCGTCTTCTTGCTTTTGCGTGTCACCCATACTGCGTTTACCGGGACTGTATATACTGTTGAGCCATTCTCTTGAGCGGATCTTACTGTCCAGATCAGCCAGGGCGCAAAAGTGACTGTTCACGCCTATATTGCATGTCCGTTTTCTGTGAAAGGATAACCAGATTATTTAAGATACACTATATATGTATTCAAGATAAAATGCCGATATGATTGCGATCAAATTCTAAGTATGGAGACATTGTTTTAAGGTAAATAATATTTTCCATTTGATTGATCACTTTCATTTTGTTTTCTTTTTTTTCTTTTTTTCTTTTCTTTTCATAATTATCAGTTATCACCATCCTACTTTAGCATACACAGGAAAGCCTAATTACTTTAGCATACACAGGAAAGCCTAGTTACTTCAGCATACACAGGGAAGCCTAGTTACTTTAGCATACACAGGACAGCCTAGTTACTTTAGCATACACAGGAAAGCCTAGTTACTTACGCATACACAGGACAGCCTAGTTACTTTAGCATACACAGGAAAGCCTAGTTACTTTAGCATACACAGGACAGCCTAGTTACTTTAGCATAGTACTGGTGTAATAAGTCATCATTGGATAAACACCTGGTAACAAGGAAACCTAAACAGTACTGGTGTAATAAGTCATCATTAGATAATCACCTTGTAACAAGGATACCAAGATAGTACTAGTGTAATTATAGTCATCATTAGATAATCACCTGGTAACAAGGATACCTAGATAGTACTGGTGTAATTATAGGTATCATTAGATAATCACCTGTTAACAAGGATACCTAAACAGTATTTGTGTAATACGTCATCATTAGATAATCACCTGTTAACAAGGATACCTAGATAGTACTGGTGTAATAAGTCATCATTAGATAATCACCTGGTAACAAGGATACCAAGATAGTACATGTACTAGTGTAATTATAGCCATCATTAGATAATCACCTGGTTACAAGGATACCTAAACAGTATCTGTGTAATTCGTCATCATTAGATAACCACCTGGTTACAAGGATACCTAAACAGTACATGTGTAATAAGTCATTATTAGAGAATCACATGGTAACAAGGATACATAGATAGTACTGGTGTAATAAGTTATCATTAGATATTCACCAGTACTATCTAGGCATCCTTGTTACCAGGTGAATATCTAATGATGACTATAATTACTCTAGCACATGTACTATCTTGGTACCCTTGTTACCAGGTGATTATCTAATAATGACTTATTACACAGGTACTGCTTAGGTATCCTTGTTAACATGTGATTATCTAATGACGACTTATTACACCAGTACTATGTAGGTATCCTTGTTACTAGGTGATTATCTAATTATGACTTATTACACAGGTACTATCTAGGTATCATTGTTAACAGGTGATAATCTAATGATGACGTATTACACAGGGTGATTATCTAATGATACCTGGTAACAAGGATACCTAAACAGTACCTGTGTAATTGGTCATTATTAGATAATCAGCTGGTAACAAGGATACCTAAACAGTACCTGTGTAATTGGTCATCATTAGATAATCACCTGGTAACAAGGATACCTAAACAGTACATGTGTAATAAGTCATCATTAGATAATCACCTGTTAACAAGGATACCTACATAGTACTGGTGTAATAAGTCATCATTAGATATTCACCTGGTAACAAGGATACCTAGACAGTACTGGTGTAATTAGTCATCATTAGATAATCACCTGTTAATAAGGATACCTAGATAGTACCTGTGTAAAAAGTCATCATTAGATAATCACCTGTTACCTAGATAGTTCCTGTGTAATAAGTCATCATTAGATATTCACCTGGTAACAAGGATACCTAAACAGTCCATGTGTAATAAGTCATCATTAGATAATCAACTGTTAACAAGGATACCTAGATAGTCCTGGTGTAATAAGTCACCATTAGATAATCGCCTGGTAACAAGGATACCTAGATAGAACTGGTGTAATTATAGGTATCATAAGCTAACCACCTGGTAACAAGGATACCTAAACAGTCCATGTGTAATAAGTCATCATTAGATATTCACCTGGTAACAAGGATACCTAAACAGTCCATGTGTAATAAGTCATCATTAGATAATCACCTGGCAGAAAGGATACCTAGATAGTACTAGTGTAATTATAGTCATCATTAGATAATCACCTGTGAACAAGGATACCTAGATAGTACCTGTGTAATAAGTCATCATTAGATATTCACCTGGTAACAAGGATACCTATATAGTACTGGTGTAATTATAGGTAACATTAGATAATCACCTGTTAACAAGGATACCTAGATAGTACCTGTGTAAAAAGTCATCATTAGATAATCACCTGTGAACAAGGATACCTAGATAGTACCTGTGTAATAAGTCATCATTAGATATTCACCTGGTAACAAGGATACCTAGATAGTAGTAGTGTAATTATAGTCATCATTAGATAATTACCTGGTTACAAGGATACCTAAACGGTATCTGTGTAATACGTCATCATTAGATAAGCACCTGTTAACAAGGATACCTAGATAGTACTGATGTAATAAGTCACCATTAGATAATCAGTACATGTGTAATAAGTCATCATTAGATATTCACCTGGTAACAAGGATACCTAGACAGTACTGGTGTAATTAGTCATCATTAGATAATCACCTGGCAGAAAGGATACCTAGATAGTACTAGTGTAATTATAGTCATCATTAGATAATTACCTGGTTACAAGGATACCTAAACAGTATCTGTGTAATACGTCATCATTAGATAAGCACCTGTTAACAAGGATACCTAGATAGTACCTGTGTAATAAGTCATCATTAGATAATCACCTGGTAACAAGGATACCTAGATGGTACTGGTGTAATTATAGGTATCATTAGATAACCACCTGGTAACAAGGATACCTAAACAGTATCTGTGTAATACGTCATCATTAGATAATAACCTGTTAACAAGGATACCTAGATAGTACCTGTGTAATAAGTCATCATCAGATAATCACCTGGTAACAAGGATACCTAGATGGTACTGGTGTAATTATAGGTATCATTAGATAATCACCTGGTAACAAGGATACCTAAACCGTACCTGTGTAATAGGTCATCATTAGATAATCACCTGGCAACAATGATACCTAGATAGTACTTGTGTAATTATAGGTATCATTAGATAATCACCTGGTAACAAGGATACCTAAACAGTACCTGTGTAATATGTCATCATAAGATAATCACCTGTTAACAAGGATACCTAGATAGTACTGGTGTAATAAGTCATCATTAGATAATCACCTGGTAACAAGGATACCTAGATAGTACTCGTGTAATTATAGTCAACATTAGATAAACACCCGTGTTTATTAAATTGTATTTAAAGCAAACCTGAACAGAAAAATTGATCAAACATGCATCTATGTCATTTAATAAACTTGATTCTTGTGTCTGAATCAATATAGTCATTTTGAGCTGTTTATTTAGTATCTTTTTATTTATTTACCTTTTTGTTAGTGTGGGGGGGGGGGGGGGGGGGGGGGAGTTAACGTCTTTGCAATAGTCAAGATCATATGAAGACGGGTTCATAGGAGAACCCAGCCGACGAAAGAGTAGGAAAATGCGAAATGAGAATATGTAGATTTTAAATGGTGCATTTCCCCCTATGCAAAAAGAAAACAGCAGGAAACATGCTGAGGTAGAGGTGAAACATAACGCTGTGTCGTGTACATCCGTCAATGAAAAAAGCAAAAACACCAATCCAACTCCGGTCGTCTTACTTGATAAGGACAGGCTATGAATCAATGATTGACATGGATCAATGAGACGAAAGCACATACATTAGTACAAAAGGTCATTGGATAACCACTAATTAAGTGAAACATTTAAGATAGCAATGATCATTTAATTAACTTGTTGTAATTGGGTAGATATTTCCCGTGGTGAGAACAGCTTACAATTTTCTCCCTTATGTCATTACTTTGTCGGTTGTTCTTTGTTTGACCAAAGTATGTGAAGGCAAATGTCAAGGTTTTCATGTTTAGACGGAGACAGGCAACATGTGGTATTTGGCATAGGTATGCATCAGGTAAAAACTCATCCAGAGTGAATCAAATTCCATTATACCTTTTTATTTTAAACATGAAGCTGATACCGCCTGTCAATCGTGACCTCGATTTGACAAAACTGATGTAACTTTGACCTGGATCTAAACTGACAGTTACATTTCCTAACACAACCCGGCTTTGATGATATTAATACAACTGAATCTGGTTCTACTTATCAAACATGTATCCGAATCTAAATAACAACATTCTATTATTTATCTCGATTCTTGGGAAACATTTTGCATTGATTTGAACCTTTTATGCTTTCTTTTTCTTCTATTTTACTGACTTTCACATGGTTCCGAACCCGTTCACATTTTTCTGAAAACGGCTTAGAAAGAGTCGCATTGTGTTATAATTGATTATGTAAACCCCGAATCTGCCAGGGGAACTTATTAATAGCCCCATCTAGTCACTGATCATGCAGTGGGATATAACAGGCTTTTCTTTATCCAAACATTCAGTGGAAAACTTGGGGGACGATAACCGTATAACGGTAAGCTTTCACAAAGACTTAAATGAAATATAAGTATTCCGATCGTTCATAATGAAATCTAAGCCGTAAACGTAAATCTATAAAACAAAATAATATCAGTGAGACGAATATTTTACAGTCAACGTAGGTAGTAATAGGACCCTTACTGTTTACTGGCTAGCTCTTCGTCAAGGCTGGAGATGGTGTTAGTCATACCGTTGATATCGTGTCGAGCTTCATCTAGTGACCTTACCAATCTGCAATGTGTAAGCATAAGTAAGATCTCACAATAAATCATAATTATTTCAAAAATAAATTATTCAAAACCAATCACTAGCTTAGCTTGGATTATATACAATGCTACGCGTTTAAAAACAACATTTCCTAGCTGTCATCCTATGAATATGAATTAGATCCATTTATTTTACTTTTTATCTTTAAAAGAAGTATCAGAATATTGCTAGTGTATAAGCTCGTGACGATGATCCCAGTAGTATGTAATGTTGTTTCTAACGATGAAACAGGATCATTGTCAGAAACTAACTAATAACCTTGCGCGAAAGTTAACGACATAAATCTCCCGGAGTACGTTTCATAAGGAAACGTACGAAAGATGATATTTTAAAAATTTCGAAATTTACCCCATCTGGGAAATACATGATCAATTGAATAACATCACGTATCATTTAATGAAGGTACCACCACGTGTAACACGTCAGTCTGCTAGTTTCTTTCTGACAATGTAGATTGTAATCGTTTACAGTTATGTGGATATCACAAGGTATTGGATGACAGTGAAGTGAGAAGAGATTAGTAATTATGTCCAAATACTGAAACATTTTTCAGTAGATTCATTCTATTCTAGCTAGAAAATGTGTTAAAACTCAATAAAACTCAAATGTGAGTCAGTCATAGTTCATTACATGGATGGCAAAACGGATGTTCCTCTCGTTAAAGTGATAATGAATGTGTAAAACAGGTTTGAACTATAGGAAGTCAGGCGGTGCCTCCTTTCCATGGTTTTCTCTGATAAAAAGGAGTGAACCAATAAGAGATTGTATTGTATGATGCTTACCGTTAACATTTTTGACCATTTGTAAGCTTGATTTTATGTACTTATTTTTATTCAACTTTTTTTCAGAATCACATTTTACTACAGTTACATGCACATTACAATTATTTCATATAACTATTTTCGTTCTGTAACTATATATCAATCAGAATCGGTATATATATATATATGAGTCTACCTGTTTACTCATGTATGTACAAAGTTTATATTAATTTAGATTATATTTCCATCGGATATTTCACGTTTTTTAAAGACAAGTACAGAGTACCATGACATCTGTAAGTAAGACAGATCATTTCTATTTTGAATACATTTAGACGTGAAGTTATCCGACAGGAATAGGCTCTTAAGACTTTACCCAAAAAATATTAACAATGTCAGCTCTGTTAAATAAGTAAATGATTGATAAAAATCAATTTGCATTTGATTTTTTCTTGCTTTTTGTTGTGATAGGCATACAGACCCATATCTTCTATTTTATTTACCTTGTTACAACAGAAATATCAAAAATTCCGAGGCAACCTCACACACTATTCATTGTCATAGGATACTCTAACAAAATCATGTTTAAGCATCTTCATGTGAAATTTCTATGTATCTATTCTCAAAAACAACGAGCCAAATAGCATAGTAAGTGTTCCTTCTTTAAAAAAAAAAAGTTTCGAAGATGTTTTCCTCGAAATGGGATGTGATGATAATCAGGACAGTCGATGTTAGTGACTATGTGTCGGTAGAAGTGGGGTATAATCAGGACAGTCGATGTAGTGCCTATGTGTCGGTTGAAATGGAGTATATTAATCTTTCAAAGTCCAATAATTATGTGACCATCTAAACTACGGAGTATTTGTGGAAACATCACGTTAATACGGCTGTGTGAAGATCAGGGATTGGCGACGTGCCCACAACCATCTCTCCCACATCACAATACAATTGTTGAGCTCACTCGTTTCACAGTTTTCACGAGAAAATTTCATAGTTTGTAACACATTTTTCCGTGTACGTATTTAATTTGTGTGTGATTGGAATCCTATATATTTCAGCAGATGTCTGCCAAACAGCACTTCCTTGTTTTTGCATTTATAATTTGAACATTATCTAGCTCTTGACGAGACACGAGGATATTACAACTTAGACAATTCTACATTTTTCGATACTGATAATGGGAGATATAATGCTTATATGAGATCACTGAAAAAATGTGTAATGTAGCATCGATCAGTAAAATGCAACACTTCGGATTTTTTGGTTTCTATCTCACAATAATTATGATGGGACCAGTTGATTGCCAATCTGAGGTGTCATCTCAATATGTTATGGATTTGCTTAAAATTGATATCTAACAGAGACAGTTACCTTGCACCGGGCGTGATTTGTTTCTGTGGTTCTTCGGTAGATAAGACCAGGGAAGGCAACGTGTACATGCATGTTAAGCACACCCACACATAAGTGTTGGTCATTCTTCTTACAGGGGCTGCAATGAAAGAAAACAGATCTTATTAATATTAGACACATTGAAATGCTGGATGCCTTGACATGATTTTATATAGAGATTGCACTCAAAAGTCGGCGGCGAATCCGTGTTATGTAAAGGCATCAATAACATATCAACATTCACAATCATACAACCTCTAGCATCCACCCACACACATACATGCATACATTATACACATACATAAATGAAGGCACGTCTTCAAATGTTTTTATATGTTCATGGAACGCTTATGAAAGAAAATGGATGTACGTTCTTAACACCTCGAAGATATTAACCGAATGCAATACGTACATGGTTACACTCCTGTTTCCAGAGTTAAAAAGTGTCAATGCACACGTGACTGAAGTTGGTCTCTGTTAAACAGCCTAATTGTTACTTTTGATCATGCTGGATCAGTAAGGGAGGTTTAACGAAGAACAGACACACATTGAATCGAAATAGACATACATTTATCAACAAGTTTGTTTCATGCATAACTGTTTAGACAGAAGTTAAGGTCTATTAGAAATTCCTTGTTTTGCCCCTAGCATCACCGATGAGTCCTAGAGCGACGAAACAGCTGTATGATGCAGTGCAATTCCTTCTTCGCATTCTACAAAAAATACTTATTTCATAGGTGCGGTCACATAGGTATATGCCTTACGTATACCATACACTTTTGTCCAGAAACTGTAAAGGTAAATTTGGCTAATTATAATAAAGGGAAACGTACAAAACTACATTTCTAGTTACAATTGAATTACCTGAACGATAAAAGGTAATAATCTGCGTTTATAGTCATTCAGCACTATGGGAATTGACATGACTCTAACCAGTTTTAATTAATTTACTTATATCTTGTATGAAAATGTTAGTGATATGCGACGAATGGTCCATAAACCACGCGCAAAAACCTTGAGAGAATGACACGTTTGCACGATATTTAACAAAACCAAAACTTACATTTCAAAGACGTAGTGTATCCCCGGTTTGAACTATATAACAAACGTTTCTAATGTGATTCCGCTCTGGCAATACAAATGGGTTTGACACCGAATTGTTAAGCACAGCAAGACTTAAACAGTCAGCAGAGTCGTTTATTTCTTAAGTGCTAATTTGTTCGACAAGTTAAACAGCTAGGTGAATACGTCACGCAATATCGCGTCCCACGTGCCTGTTGAATCAACACGATAAGCTTTTAAATTACATTTACCATTCTTTCTGTTAAACCAGAATAATTGTATAAATAAATTAAAATGTTTTTTGCAGGGACACTTTACAGGTTTTACTGGTATAGAGATATAATGTGACGTGCTGTAAACCATGTAATGTACAAAAATAGCGAAAAGGAAAAGTATAAACACGGAATGGTATCCACGGTCTACGGTATCCACGGTCTATGGTATCCACGATCTATGGTATTCACGGTCTATAGTATCCACGGTCTATAGTATCCACGGTCTACGATATCCACGGTCTACGGTATCCACGGTCTATGGTATCCACGGTCTACGGTATCCACGGTCTACGGTATCTACGGCCCATGGTATCCACGGTCTACGGTATCCAAGGTATATGGTATCTACGGTATCCACGGTCTATGGTATCCACGATCTATAGTATCCACGGTCTACAGTATCCATGGTCTATGGTATCCACGGTCTATGGTTCATCTGACCAGACGTTTTAGCTGTCACTGCAGCATTAAACCTCAATTTCACAGATTACTAAAGTAAATTTAAGTTATCTCGTAAAAGTAAACATTATTCCATCTGATATCAAATAGTTCCGTTCCAAAATTTAATTTACGTATTGCAGTTTTATTCAGACTATCTTATGTTATATCTCGAGTTTGTATGACTACACGGTAGTTTAACTAATAAAAGTTGCAAATATTCCTATTTGCAGGATTTTTCAATGTTTCGAATTTTTTAGAGTGCGTCTCTTTCGATATAGAAAGTTGACATGACCAAATAAATTCTGATTAACATTATAGATAGGCATGAATCACACAAGTAATTCATGGAACTGTAAACAAATAAACGTGTGGGAGAAAGATATACATCAAACTGACTGATAGACATATTAATTCCTATCTGTAATTGCATTTCACAGCTGTATTTCATTACCATGTTCCCAGTCAGAATTTATTGTAATCTGTGCCGGCTATCCGAGCGTACGAGTGGTTTAGACATGGGTTTCACATTTATCTAAAACATTGCTGTTATGAAACAAACAATGTGATAATATCACTCTTTGTACAACAAGGTTTGAATACTTAGATAGGCGGATGCTAAATGTTTAGCAATGCTGCAAATACATCGGATTTCTACAGCCAATCGATTATTCAGAAAATTAACAGAAATAGACAAATTCCTGTACTATTAAGCTAACAATTGAAAACTATAATTCATGAAATTTATCTAATATTGAATTTGCGTAAGGATAAAAAAATTATGTGTATCGGTGCTAATAAATAACATTTTGTTCGCAGTAACTCGGTTTTAAATCGAATTCATTCTTGTGCTACTTTTAACCTCCAATACATAAAATATGATAAAGCAGAGTAGCGTTGTTCGATTTTGCTATTCGTAAACAATGCTATGGCTGTTTTACATTACGTAGGCTGTAGTACTTATCCTAAGGAGTATTCGTTTACTTCATTTTCCCGGAGGACTGTAAACAATGTTAAAATCAACGATGGCCTTTGTGTACCATGAATGTATTTACATAGGTCAGGTGCACCTTCTTAGACACTTGTACAAATAATTCATGGTGAACAGTTTAAAATTACGTACAGTTGCAAAAAAGACCACTTTTTGATCCTTTGGTATCGGTTCATTTCGTTCAGCAAAGATTTCTTCGTTCGATAACAAACAGATCCAAGCACCTAAGCGGTCTGCACAACGTTGAAGTGTGTAAATATTAAAGAAAACGTCCAATTTAACTGTTTGAAATATAAAATGAAACTACAACATCAACAGAACTGAATTTGATTGTCTTTTTCTTGACAGCCATTTAATTTGTCTATACGACGTAAAAGTGTGCGTAAACATTGCTAAAACCTTTAATCTAACGTTCTTGAAATGAATCTAAAATGAAAGTTTAACTATAACAGTGTCAAATTTAATAGTCTGATATCTCAGTCACTGTCTGGCTGCCACTGAGAAATGAGCCCTGGGGGTATATCTGTTCAATATTGACTGGGAAGTAGCTCATCCTGTTTTGCTTGGTATATTTACTCTTCTCTAAAATTTGGAACAGCAAATTGTCTCGTACCACCAGGGGTGTTGTATCATATTCAAACACAAATGAACACAATTCTACTTATAATAAGCCTAACATGTCACGTGTTAAAAACTCTTCAGAAAGGCAGCATTTCCTCAAGAGGTTATTATCACACTGTTAACACGCTAAGCTAAAACAGTACTTTCCTTCCTACAAACATTATATTATACTAGGAATATACTATATTGTTTGTCACAAAGCCAGTAGTTTATTACTGACCCTGCCAGATGAGAATTTCCATTTAGCTCACTGAGAAGATCGCTGGACTGTAGCGTTTCGTGTGATCGACCTCTGGAAGAGGAACTTTGACAAAGTGACCTCGGTTATATCGTTGCTAAAGATAGTTTAAAAACCTAGGTAATTTGAACACTTTGATTTATATACTGCATGCATTTTTATATACCATAGAACACTTTGTATACTATACGATACTGCATTATACTATATTAGTATGATATAATACTACAATAACCATGTGCCAGACTACATGTATATTGTAATATATTCATGTACATTAAAACTCGTCATTGATTAACTTTGCAGGTAAAAGTCCTATCAATTCCTCCATCATTCTGAATAAATTAATTTCAGTATGCAGACTTCCCACGTCACTCTGCAGATCGTTAATTACCCCGGTAGTATTTCCCGTCAGACTACGATAACTGTCACTGACCTGAAACAACACCGGAAACGGATGCTTGGATACATTTCTGGTTATTTATCAAAGAATGGGCAGACGGCGATAGATCACTTTATCGCTTTGAAAATTATGGCTGTAGTGTCCTGATTTCCTTTGATATTTCTGCCTGAGATTCATTAACCTTTATGATACATTAACGTATAGGCAGTGTCCCAATGTCAAGTTTTGAAAATGTCTATGTATAATTAATACATATAGTGTTTATTTGTTTATTTGTTTATTTGTTTTTAGGAGGTTTGCATCCTCGCAACAAATAACGTTATACGAACACGGTTTCCACAGATGACGGGACCACTCAAGTTCATGTGTGTATGTTGGTGTACTTGCCTCTTTGTGATAGCGCGGATCTGATTCCGGCTTTATAGTGCTATCTCACTGAAATACCATGCCGAAGGCACCCAGCACTGCTTCTATCCCCATCACATTATATTGACAACTGGTGAAACAGTTGTTGTCATTACCCTTAATAATGAGCGTTAAACAGGATGCCCCAGCCTGGGGACAGAACCCATTGCCTTCCTCATATCGGGGAACGTTCAAACGTGAGGTATTGCCAAGCAATGCGCTAGGAAATAATTTGTTTGTTTGTTATGGGTTCAACGTCATCGCAACAGCCAGGGTCATGTAAGGACGGTTACCTAGGGAGACACCGCCTTCAACAGAAAGTAGATAGAGAAGAAAGAAGACAGGAAAGATAGCAAACGATAATTAAAAGAAGTTAGAAGTAGAAATAAATATAAAGATCCCAAATATTGCAATGGATGCAGCAGATTTATTTTAATCGCTATGTGTCCCTAAGAAGAGGGCACAAACACAAATCCCCGATTCTGCAGGGGTTGCCACATTAGTCGCCACTTACATGTAGTCGCATGCAATGGGTAACAGCAGGTTACACCATCAAGCGACACGGAAGGATCACTCCTCCTTCATTTTGCAAACCGAAATCTACAATTGATTTGTTTTGACTACATGTTGCTTAACAGGAACAGACAAAATAAGACAGGATATGCTG